TTCTTGCTCTTTCCAGTTCTTGCTCAGAACTTGATTCTTTCTTCTTCTTTGATTCTCTTTCTCCATTTTCTCCATGTCATCCCAACAATAATAATTGGGCTGCTATCCTGGTCCACACATCCCCAAAGATGACTGTGACTTGGGCCAATCCTAGGAAAACACACAGAAGCCAGAGAGATTAGGGTCAGTTTCGAAGTTGATCTAGAGGCAGGCTTGTCTCTGGCCCTCTGCGTCGCTGGGGACAGGGGCTAGATGAGCGACCGGGACGCCATCTCCTTGTGCCACTCCCGCGCTGTCCCTGAGCAGCGCCTGCCTTCCCTCCCAGTCCTGCTGGAGTGAGTATCTGACGACCCGGATAGAGCAGAACCTTGTGATGAACTGCACCTGCCCCATTGCCGACTGCCCTGCCCAGCCCACGGGAGCCTTCATTCGTGCCATCGTCTCCTCGCCAGAGGTCATCTCCAAGGTACCCCCTCCTTTGAGAGAGGCCCTGGGGCACAGCCAGAGGGGTAGACCCCCGGGAGTGGGCTGCTGTGCGGGATACTGGGGAGCCTGGAGAGGCGGCATCCCAGAGAGCCAGGCCCTCACCTGATGACACCACCCGCGCCCCCCCCCCAACAGTATGAGAAGGCCCTCCTTCGTGGCTACGTGGAGAGCTGTTCCAACCTGACCTGGTGCACCAACCCCCAAGGCTGTGACCGCATCCTGTGCCGCCAAGGCCTGGGCTGCGGGACCACCTGCTCCAAGTGCGGCTGGGCCTCCTGCTTCAACTGTAGCTTCCCTGAGGTGGGTGCCCACCCCGGCCTCGATCCTGAGCCCCTGCCCACATCCCACCCCGCTCTGCCCCCCTGCCTGCCACACACACGCAGATTCGGCCTTGTCCTCATTCTCTGCCACCAAGTTGAGCTCCGTTCCTCCTCCTGTGGCCTCCAAGCGGGACCTCCCTCCCTCCCTCCCGCTCCCCCATGCACACCAGCAGCACGGCTGCCCTCAGTAAGGGCTTGGCCGTGTCCTCGCCTCCCCCCCCGCTCTAGGCACACTACCCTGCCAGCTGTGGCCACATGTCTCAGTGGGTCGATGATGGCGGCTACTACGATGGCATGAGTGTGGAGGCGCAGAGCAAGCACCTGGCCAAGCTCATCTCTAAGCGCTGTCCCAGCTGCCAGACTCCCATCGAGAAGAATGAAGGGTGTCTGCAGTAAGAAGGGGGTGCTGTGGGCCCTGGGGGAGGCGGCAGGCGCGAGAGGGAGGGAGGCCTGGCGGTGAGAAAGAGGCAGAGGGGCTTGCTGCAGAGCTGAGCGGCGAGGGCAGTTACTCAGCCACCCACGCTCAGCCCCTCCAGAGTGATTCCTAGAGCTCATGTTCCTTCCCCCACTTAAAAAAAAAAAAGATTTTATATTTTAGAGAGAGGGGAGTGAGGGAAACATTAATGTGCGAGATACATGGATCGGTTGCCTCTAGCTCACCCCCACCAGGGGACCTGGCCCATAACTCAAGCATGTGTTCTGACTGGGAATTGAAATGGTAACCGTCCATTTAGCAGGCTGGTGCTCAGTCCACTGAGCCATACCAGCCAGGGCCCTTACCCCACTTTTAACTCAAGACAGTAAAGGGGAATTTAGGAGCGAAGGTGTATTCAGTAGGAACCGGTAAGGTTAGGACACTAAGGGCATGGAGGAACCAGGGACATCGTCAGCAGTGCATCTAGGCTCCTGGCATCCTTGGTGTGGCCCTGGCCAAAGGCAGGAGTCCTGACCAGCTAGCTTCCTCCATAGCATGACCTGTGCCAAATGCAACCACGGATTCTGCTGGCGCTGCCTCAAGCCCTGGAAGCCAAGTCACAAAGACTATTACAACTGTTCCGCCATGGTAAGGGCACCAGGGAGGGCAGAGACCCATGGGCAGTTGGGCGGGGGGGGCTCTCTGAGGGGCTCTGTGCAGAGGGTCTGTGCAGAGCAGCCCAACAGTTGCTGGGACACTGGGGAGAAGACAGAAGCCAGCTAGGCCTACAGATGCTGGGAGGTCTGCCCTGCGGGGCCTGTGCAAGGGACCAGAGGCCCCAGAGTAGGACTGCTCACACCCAGCTGGCTACGGGAGGGCCGAGGCTGGCTGGGCCTTCCCGGGGCAGCAAGGCAGAGTGGAGAAGAACAAGGGCCGAGTCACAGACCAGTTCCAGCGCTTAGGGTGGGGCTTTGGGTCAGTGTGCTGGTCCTCAGCATTCTCGTTGGTAACGGGTTAGTAACACGACCAACCTCACAGAGTTCCGAGGGTTAGATGAAAAAATCTGGGTAAAGTGTTGGAAGGCCTCTGTGAATAGCAGCCAGTCTGATGAGCCCCATTCCGCCCCAGCAAAGCACAGTAGCCTCTCCGACGTGTCCTTACAGGTGAGCAAGGCAGCTCGCCAAGAGAAGCGGTTCCAGGACTACAATGAGAGGTGTACTTTCCATCACCAGGCCCGGGTGAGGCAGGGGAAAGAGCTGGGTCTGTGGGAAGGTCGGAGGGCGGATGGGTGTGGTCCAGATGGGGACGTGTGTGCACGTGCAGTGCTGAGCCCCTTTCCTCTGTGCAGGAGTTTGCCGTGAACTTATGGAACCGAGTGTCTGCCCTGCACGAGGTGCCCCCACCCAAATCCTTCACCTTCCTCAGCAACGCTTGCCGGGGACTCGAGCAGGCTCGAAAGGTTGTGGTGGGTGGGGGAGGGGAGAGATGGGCCAAGGGGGTCTAGTGGGCTGGGCAGCCGTCCTCTGACCTGTTTGGTTGGAGGGAGTGAGGAAACAGGTGGGAGAGACCTGACTCGGGCTCCCCCAGGTGCTGGCCTACGCCTGCGTGTACAGCTTCTACAACCAGGACACGGAGCAACTGGATGTGGTGGAGCAGCAGACCGAGCACCTGGAGTTGCACACCACTGCCCTGCAGATCCTGCTCGGTGAGCCGCCCGCCTGCACAGCCCTCTTGCCTGCCCCTCCCCTCTGAGCATCCCATTCCAAGGAGCAGGGACTCCACAGCACCCCTACCCCAGCCTCCCACCTGCCGCTGTCCTCTTCCTCTTCCTAATTCTCCATGGCCTCGTCACTGGTACGGGCTGTCAGTGCCTGAGGACACAGGTCTTCACCTGACCTTTGATTTGATTCGGTTTTGTTTCCATCACTGGAGTGTAAGCCTCACGAATGGGTGTCTAGAGCCGGGTCTGGTGGATGTCAGTAGAACTTGGTAGATGTCTCGTGGGGGTTTGTTGGAGGAGGGCGTGGAGGGGAGGGAAGCAGGGTGGAGCCCCCTGCCCTGTGCCCTCTGCAGAGGAGCTCCTGCTGCAGTGCAGAGACCTGGCCGCGGCCTTGCGCCTGCTGCGGGCGGACTGTCTCCACATGGGCCTGGAGCTGCTGCGGCTGATCCAGGAGAGGGTGCTCGCTATCCTGCAGCATTCCACCCAGGTAGGCTGCCCCTGCTCTGGGAGCGCCCAGGCGAAAGGCCGCAAGGGTGGACGGGTATTCGGAGACCTGGGTGTGTGTCCCCGCTCCCAGACTGGCCGCTGGATGCTTTGGACCCTGCCACTTAACCGCCTGGCATTTCCTACAAAATAAAGGAATTAACCCAGATCCAGGCTATTTTGCCAGATCCTTGCTCATCAGATTCACTTGGGGAACTTTTTCAGACATAGTACCCAGATGTGGATTCAGAATCCCAGGAGTGGGGGGCCAGGGGGCTGGGGTCCACCAGAGTAAGATATCTCGGAGATTTCTCTTCAGCTCTAATATGCCGATGTTGGCTACAAACCTGCCCTCAGGGAGCATACAGACTGGTAGTAACTCGGGCAGAAGAGACATGCTCAGCACCATGAGCTCCAGGAACACAGGGCTGGTCTGCCTCACCATCGGGTCCTTGTCCCTGGACCCACGTCCTAGTTAAATCACACAAGGTAGTGGTTTGTGAGGTGCCGCGGCGTGCGAGGGAGAACAGGCGGGAGCACTCCTGCCCGGGTATGGCACCGAGTGGGCCCTCGGAGAATGCTGGCTGAAGGAGTGCTGGGCTCAGAGGCCCAGTGGCCTCTATTGTCCTACTCCTGCATCCTCCCGTCTCTTCGCAGGATTTCCGGGTTAGTCTCCAAGGTCCCTCGTTAGAGGCCCGGGAGGCAAAAGGGTCCAATGTGCCCGGCAGCCAGTGAGTATGGGCAGAGCCTCAGAGGAGCGGGACAGGCCAGGCTCCCGCTGGGGCTGAGCAGCACTCTCTCTCTAGGCCCCAGGGCCCCTCGGGGCTGGAGGCAGCTGAGGAGGAGGAGGAAGGTGATGAGGAGGACGAGGATGAGGTGTCCGCGTGGCAGCAAGATGAGTTTGACGAGGAGCTGGACAACGACAGCTTCTCCTATGACGAGGAGTCCGAGAACCTAGACCGAGACACTTTCTTCTTTGGTGACGAGGAAGAGGATGATGAGGGCTACGACTGAGGGTCAGGACACAGGGAGCCCCTGGAGCCGCCCCAGAGCCACGGGGCCGGGGCCGAGGGGGCCGGGACTCACCCTGTTGTTGTGGGGTATGCAGAGGGAACGATTCCCAGTACCCGCAGCACCTTCTCACGTTTACTGAATAAACTTTTTTCACATACTTCCCTGAAGCACGCTGGGCCGCTCTCCCCGCCGTGTCCCCCCACACACCAGCCCTCCTCATTCTTCAGTTTCCCGTAGACCCCCAGACTCTTTGGTCGCAGACGGCCCAAAGCCGGCCCCTTTGACCCGAGCCGATCACCGATCGCAGCCAGTGAAGGTCCACACGGTGGGGCCGACGCAGGCCTGCCCACTTGCCCCGACCCAGCCCCGGGTCAGAGGAGACGGAACAGCCAGCCCCCGTGGTTGGCTTCCTCTAAGCTCTTGAATGTTCCAGGCAAGGGCCCGAGGGCATTAGAAGTACGCCCCTCTTGGGGTTTCTCTGCATCTGGAAGTGAAGTGCGGTAGGGTGGGAAGAAGATACTATTGAGGCCCGGCCATGGCCCGCCACACACACATACATATGTAAAGTCAGAACTGTAAACATATCTTTTAATTTGGCACTGGGATAAAAGACAGGGATGGTATTACAGCCGAGTCTGGGATCAGAAGAATTGGGTAAAGTGGGGTTCAGTCAAGCGGTTGGGCCGAGGGAAGAAGCCACCTACTCGGGAGGATGAGCCTCAAAATACCGATCCAGCAGGGCCTCCACCTCTCCCTCGTCATAGTCCCACACCTGGAACCGCAAGCCGTCTGCTGCTCCCCGGATCATGGCTGAGAGCACTGGGAAGGCAAAAGAAGGCCAAGGTGCCCCCCCTCTGTACCCCCTGTCTGTGCTCCCTTCCCCAGCCCTAGGGGGAGACACTGTACTCAGAGACACCCCCGCCCCCCCAAAAAAAGGCAGCTGAGGACTGGGTCCCAAGAAAGCTGGGGAGGGAGGGAGTGGCCTTCCTGGGCTCAGCGTGCTCACCTCGGCCCGACTGTGGGCGGAACAGGCACAGGACTTGCTTATTGAGGGCAGCTGCCCGGCCCAGCTCATAGCCGACACCCAAGGATGGCTGGGTCACTTCTGCTACAACCACTGGAAGAAAAACCAGAGTGAGGCTCCATGCCTGGGCTTGTAAGAGAAAGAGGGAAGTGAGTGGTGAGGAGGGAGCTCTAGGGAGTCCTGGGTGGGGAGGCCAGGTGTGTTGGGGGAACCCAGTGCCCAAGAGAGTTCACAGGTAGGAGAGGGGGCCACTCACGGTCCGCCCGCTGCAGCCAGGCCAGGTCCCGATCGTGGATGAGCCTGTCACCCCCAGCAGCCACTTCCCCTGTGGTTGAGAGAGAGCTGGTCAAGGCTGTGCCCGCCCAGGGAGGGCGGGCGGATGGCCCAACACTGAAAGTCCACGGAAAGGAGTAAGGAAATGGAAGAGCTGCAAGACAAATTTGATCCTGTGCAAGGGGGTGTGTGTGAACAGGGCCAGATGAATGGTACAAATGAAATTAAGGGGAGGACTCACTCACTGTGGGTCAGAGTGGTTAGAGGTGGAGAAGGAGGGAGAGCATCCCAGGTGGAGAATGGCAGGCAGGGGCTGGTCCACGCAAAGGAAGGATGGAGGAAGACTAGATTAGAGCCTAATGGAGTGGCGCTCAAGCTTTGGTAGGTACCAGAATCATCTGAGAACTTGATAAAACTACAAAGACCCAAGTGTCAGTGGGCCCAGCCACTTCACAAGTGGTGATTCTCATCCCCACCAAAGTTTGACAACCACTGCCTGAATGCATGCAAAGTGACCCGTGGTTGGTGACGGGAACCGAGGTGGCAGAGGCATCCTGGGGTAAGAGGCCAAGGATCTCGGCTCCAGCTTGGTTAAATGTTACCCTCCAGTACTGTTAAGGCCCACAGCTACCTGCACCAGGACAGAGTCACCACAGAACTTGTTAAAAGCAATTTGAAGGCTTCCTTAGACTACTGTTATGAGATTCTGCATTTAAACAAACTCCCTCATTATATTGGAGCACACTGAAGTCCAGGGACCACCAGGCAGGGGCGGACCGATTGTGGAAACCAACAAACCTCACTTGCACAGGCCCTTCCCAATACCCTAGCAATTTTGTGATTTCATCTTTTTAAAGATGTCTCCCAGAATTTCGTTAGGGCCCACAGATCCTGGCTCTGTCCCTGGGCAGGGCATGGGGAACCACTTCAAGTTTTGTGAGCAGAGATACAACAGTTAGACACAGTTTTCAAACTAGAAGAGTTCAATCAGACCAACCATGTTTTAGACAGAGCCGGCACTAACGATGGATTATCAGAAAAAGGAATAAAGAGAGCAATCCCACTTGCCACCGTGTCGAAGACAATAAAGTAGTTCAGAATAAGTTTAACCAGAGAGCTGAATGGTCTGTACACCGCAAACTATAAGACATGGATAAAAGAAATTGAAGAAGGCACAAATAAATGGAAAGGCATCCCGTGTTGATGGACTGGAAAAATTTGCATTGTTAAAATGTTCGCACTACCCAAAGCCATCTACGGATTCGATGTAATCCCTATTAGGTCACACAGGCATTTCTTACAGAAGTAGAAAAACAATCCTAAAATTTATGGGATCCTGAACAGCCAAAGCAATCCTGAGAAAGAAGAACAAATAGGGGGGCCATCATATTTCCTGATTTCAAGCTATAGTAGAAAGCTATAAAATCAAAACAATATGGTACTGCCATGGAAACAGACACATAGACCCATAGAACGGAATCTCTAGCCCAGAAGCAGCCCTGGCCTGGCGGCTCAGTTGGCTGGAGTGCCATCCTGCACACCAAAAGACTGCAGATTTGATCTTTGGTTGGGGTGCATATGAGAGGCAACCGATAGGTGTTTCTCTTTTTCTCTCTCCCGCCCCCCCAAAAGCAGTAAGTATGTCTTCAGGTGAGGGTAAAAAAGACAGAACTACCATATGCCCCAGCAACCCCACTTGTGGGAATATAACCAAAGGAAACAAAAACACTGTCGCAGAGGTGTCTGCACGCTACGTTCAAAGCGGCATCCTTGACGACAGCCAAGATGCGGAAACAACCTAGGTGTCCGTGGGCGGATGAATAGGTAAAGTTGTGTATGTATAAAATGGTATATTATTCAGCCACGAGAAAGAAGGAAATCCTGCCATTTGGGAAAACATGGAAGGACTTCGGAGGCATTATACTCAGTGAAATAAGTCAGACAAACAGATACTATATGATCTCACTTGTATGTGGAATCTAAAAACAAAAAACAAAACAAAACAAAAAAACAGAAAAATCTAAACTCCTAGCAAAAGAGATTGAATTTGTGGTTACCAGAGGTGGGGGCCGGAGACTGGGAAAATACACGAAGGGGTCAAAAGGTACCAACTTCCTGTTATGAGTACTAGGGATGTAATGTACACGATGACTATAGTTACCACTGCTGTGTGGTTATCTGAAAGTTGTTATAAGAGTAGATTCTAAGAGATCTTATCACAAGGAGAAAAATTATTTCATGAGATAATGGGCATTAACTAAACTTATTGTGTTGATTCTTTCACAACACATGAAGGTCTAATCATTAAACTTGTACAGTGCTAAGTTCATTAGAGCTCAGTAACACTGGGAAGAAAAAAAACAAACACCCACAGCGGCCAGGAGCTAAACACATAAGTAGAAGCCTGATCAGAAGGCGTGAGAGACTGTGGTGATGGAGAGAACTAGGGTCTGTCGGGTCTAAGACAGGATTGACACCCCCACGCCAAAGGCGCACGGCACAGGAGGATAAGCTTCATTGGGGAGCTTATCCCTGGGGAGAAGATGCCAGCGGGTGCAGAAACCCTAGCAGTCCCGTCCACGCCCATTCTGCCCCTCCCTACAAACTACCCCGGCAAGAGTTGGAGAAAGTTCTCCATGAAGAATGTAAAGGTCAGGATAATAACAGAGTGCAGAGACTGTCCAGCTGGATCCGGACACACGAGGTCTGAGTCCGGGCTCCAATTACTTTTAGCGCGAGGCGCTCGCTCCCAGCCAACGGCCCTCAAGGCACAGCGGAGGGCGGCCGCCGCCCGGGGGAGGCAGCTTCAGTAAAGAGGCGGGGCCGCACCCTTCCCGTCCCCGCCGCCCCCCCCCCCAACCCCGCAGCCAGCGCTCCCCGCCCCTGCGGCCTCACCCTGCGCGCCCAGCTCCCCAAACGCCACGTGCTCCGTAAGCACGGTCCCAAAGCGCCGCAGCCGCGACACGATCCGCTGGTACAGCGCCCGGTCCTCGCGTCCGCCGCGGATACTCCCGCAGAAGTACAGGGCCCGACGGCAAGTGTCGCCCGACTGCCCGGGCTCCCCGCGCTCCCGCGCGCCGGCTACGGTCGCCGCCATCCGGCTGCCGTCACCGCTCACCTTTCTGCGCCAGGGGGCGCTAGCCTGAGGCCACGTGATCCGAGCAGAGCCTGCGCCGGGGACATGGTGCTCAAGTGTTCACACCTGTGAAACGGGGAGGAGTGGGGAACGTAGGTGACGGTGCCCATGTCTGGGGAACCCACTGCCTCCTGTATATCTTAACTCTAACTTGTCCCAGAGGAAGTCGCAGTCTTCTGCACCTCACCCACTTCGCTCCCCTCGACCCCACTCTTTGCCATCTCACCAAAGGCAACTCCATCCTCCCAACTGCTCAGGTCCAAAAGCTTGGAGTTATTCTCGACTCCTTTCTTTCTCTCAAACCCTACATGCAACCCATCTGCAACTCTTGTCAGCTCTCCTTCTGACGACTTCCAGAATCTGATGTCCACCCACCACCTGGGCTGCAGCCATGCTCATCCAAGCCTCTGTTACCTCCCTCAACAGTCCCCTGCTGCGCAGTCCGGTCTCCGCTCAGCAGGCCGACTGCGCATGTGAGCACTGACCTTCCTCTGCTCAAACCCTCCAGTGCCTCCTTCCTCACTTAGGGTGAAAACCCAAATTCCACAGTGGCCCACCAGGCCCACGTGACCTGGTAACTCCTCTCTAACCCCAGTTCTAATACTCTCACCAACTTTTCTGCAGCCACACTGGCTTCCTGGCTGTTCCCTTGGGACCTTTTTGCTCTTTTGTCCCTGGATCACTCCCTCAACTCCTCCAAGTCTTTGTTTACACATCATCTTTCCTGACCACCCTCTTCTATAGGGCAGCCTCCTGTTTCCAGTATTCTCTCTCATCCTTCCCTGCTAGCCTTTTCTCTTCTCATGTACCATATACTTTGTTGATTCTGTCGTATATCTTTCTACACCTAGTAGAATGTAAGTCCCTAGGAAGGCAGGACTTTTTATCGGTTTGGTTCACTGCTAATATCCCCAGCTTCTAGATCTGTGCCTGCCACATAGGAAACGTTTATCAAATATTTGTTGGATGAAGGAGTGGATTAAATGAGAAGTTGCATTTGACAGCACTTCGTAATCTGCTCAGCCCTGCAGTAAGCTGATAGAAGCAGGATATTCAGGGAGATAGGCAAATCCAGCATTATTAACTGGTAATAATAATGATTTCCCTCTCATTTTATTATAAAAATCACACAAATATAGCCCTGGCTAGTGTGGCTCAGTGGATTGAGTGCTGGCTTGCAAAGCAAAGGGTTGCCGGTTCGATTCCCAATCAGGGCACATGCCTGGGTTGCAGGCCAGGTCCCCAGTAGGAGTTCGAGAGAGGCAACCACACATTGATGCTTCTCTCCGCATCTCCCTCCCTTCCTCTCTGTCTAAAAATAAATAAATAAATATTTTAAAAAACACACAAATATAGGATAAAATATTAAATGGAACAAGAGGGTGGTATACAGTGGGAAGTGAGTCCTGAGACCCCAAACTCATTCCCCAGAGAAAAGTACCATGGAGTTTCTTCTGAACGGTAATGATTAAAATATCAAAGTATGGGGTTCCAGGGAAGGCATAATAATAATTTTTTAAAACACAGAAAATCAAAGCCTGGCTGGTGTAGCTCAGTGAATTGAGCGCAGGCTGCAAACCGAAGTGTTGCAGGTTTGATTCCCAGTCAGGGCACATGCCTGGGTTGCAGGCCACAGCTCCCAGCAACCGCACATTGATGTTTCTCTCTCTCTCTCTCCCTCCCTTCCCTCTCTAAAAATAAATAAAATCTTAAAAAAAAACACAGAAAGTCAAAGAGAAGGAAGAGGGATTTCAGGGTATTTCTGTCCATTGATGAGTGCAGCCACGGACACATGAGCCAGGCACCTTCACACACACACGCACACACACGCCTTTACGGGGGAAACCTCACCCAGATGACGTGATGGGTACCCTCCTTCACCCTTGTTATCCATGCTCACACCTGCCCTCCATTTCCCCCCACAGGTGAGGAACAGACCTGCACATACACACACAGAGCATCTTGTTCCTGCCTCTGTGTCTTAAAGAAAACAAAGCAGCCTCCATCTCCTTAGGGCCCACACCTCTGATGTAGCTGATGTCCTCTTTCCACCTCAGGCTGAATAAAGTAGAAGGGATAATTTGCCTTTTTCTCCACATGGAAAACAACTCCCTGAGATTGGCTCTATACCCACTGTCAGCTGGTGAGGATGCAGAGCCCTCCGTGGCTGGCAGCTCAGACCTCCCGGCTCAATGCAGAGAGGCCTGAGCTAGGGGGGTGGGGCACCAAGTGATGGGAAGAGGAACCCAGGACAGTGGGCAGTCTGGTGAGGCAGCACAGTGGGGGGAAATAAATCACCGGGTGACGGGAGGCCAGAATCAAATCCTAATTAAGTTACTAATGAGCTCTGTGACCTGAGTCTCAGTTTCCTCATCCGTAAAATTGGTGAAAAATGTTGTTCTGCGTTACTCCCCTGGTCTGTGAAAGCGCTTCACAAAACACACAGTGCTGCATGAAGGTAGGTCATCGTTCAAGTCAACACAATTGTTTTCATTATGGAAAATGTCAAAAAATGTCAGACGTGTGCTAACAGGGAGAATATCAGAAGACTGCTTAGTATATGACTCTATTAAAAAAAAAAATGTCCACCCTAACCAGTGTGGCTCAGCTGGTCGGGTGTCTTCCCTCAAAGTTAAAGGTTGTTGGTTTGATTCCCGGTCAGGGCACATGCCTGGGCTGGGGGTTCTGTCTGGTCAGGACACATATGAGAGGCAACTGATTGATGTTTCTCTCTCACGTCAGTGTTTCTCTCCCTCTCTTACTCCTTCCTTTCCCCTCTCTCTAATAAATAAATAAAGTCTTTAGAAGAAATGTCCACAAAAGGCATAGGATGCCCCTCTCTAAAGGCATCTCTTTAGAGAGACAGAAAGAGGGCAGCAGAGGCTGGGACGAGAGCGGCCATTGAGTGCAGAAGGCCTGAGGAACCTTTCCGAGGGTGTGGAAACATTCTGAAGTTGGCTGAATCACATACTATACTTTCTTTACCCACCCAGCCGTCAATGACATCAGTGAACACTTAGGCTGTTCCTAGGTCTTGGCTATTGTAAACAATGCTGCAGTGACGTGGGGGTGCACATATCTTTTCAAGATAGTGACTTCACTTCCTTTGGATAAATGTCCAGATGTGGAATTTCTGGGTCATACAGTAGTTCTATTTTAATTTTTTGAGGAACCTCCACACTGTTTTCCATCGTGGCTGCACCAATTTTCGATCCTACCAACAATGCACAAAGATGCCCTTCCCTCTGCATCCTCACTGACACTAGTAAATTCCTCGATTTCTGACAGCAGCCATTGGAATAGGTGTGAGGTGGTGCCTCACTGTGGTTTTGATTTGCATTTCCCTGATGGTTAGTGATGTCGCGCACCTTTCCATGTACCTGTTGGCCACCTGTATGTTTTCTTTGGGAAAATGTCTGTTTTAGATCCTGTTTATTTTAAAATCAGTTTTTTTTCTATTGAGTTCTATGAGCTCTTTATATACTTTAGATACTAATTCCTTACCCGATATATGATTTGCAAATATTTTCTCCCATTCCATTGGTTCCCTTTTTATTTTGTCGATGGTTTCCTTGACTGTATACCTTTCCATGTTTCATGACCAAAAACCAGGCAGAATGTATGACACAGTATGTCTGAACACTGGCCATCAGGCAGCACAGGACAGCGATCCTGGAAGGACTGAAAATAAGCCAGGTGAGCTCTGCGTTTGCCTCGGCATGTTGCCTGCGGGATTTCCAGGCTGTAGGCAGCAGGAACCCAGGCTGAGCCTGGCTGTCTCGGAGCTGAGGAGACTGAATGGGGAGTCCAGGGAGGCCTAGGTAGCTAGTTTGTGGGGGAGAGCACAGGATAGGAGAGAGAGCTCTGGAACATTCAGAGGGTTTCCTGTGACAGTCAGCTGAGGACTGACCAGCACATAGGTGTGAGGAAACTCTCTCTGAGGTGGGAAAAGAACCATCTAAAAGGAGCAGAGAAAACGGTCCTCAGTACTCACTCAAGGATGGAAAGAGTGCTTGTTCCCTCGAGCTGATGTGGGAAACCTCATAATTCATGGGGCATTGGGTAAGTTATACCAAAGGTTTTCACCTTAGTGGTGGGGAAAGATCAGCCCCGGGCTAGAGGCTGCTCAGGTCCCACATAACAAAGACTTAAAAAGAAAGCCTTGGAAAGATCAAACTGTTTCTAAGTAAATAAACTGCAGCCCAGAATGGAGCTCAAGAATATTTACTGAAATGGAAAAATATCCAGGATCCAATGAAGTAAAATTCACAATATTTGGCATCCAGTAAAAAATTACAGTAGGGATAGGAGCAGAAAAATATGACCCATGGTGAGAAAAAAATTGAAACTAATCCAGAAATTACTCAGATAATAAATTAGTAGACAAGTGCATTAAAAGAGTTGTCACAATTATTTGATATGTTTAAGAAGTTAGAAGAAAAATTGAATATGGAAGATTTTTAAAGACCCAGATTGAACTTCTAGAGATGTAAGCTACAATGAAAATATGCTACAAAAGAAAAGGTTAATAAACTTGACTACAGAGCAGTAGAAACTACCCACGTGAAATGCAGTGAGTAGAAGGCCAGGGGAACGGACAGAGCACGGTGGGGGCGGGGGGGGGGATGACTTCAAGCACCCAGTGTTCAGGGTGACTGGGTTCCCTGAGGGAAAGCAGAGGGCAGAATACATATTTAAGAAAATAATGGTTGAAACATTTTCAAACTTGATGAGTGTAAATCCATAGACACAAGAAGCTCAACAAATCCCAAGCACAAGAAAAATGAAACTGCAGCAAGGCACATCATAACGAAATAGCTTAACATCAGTGATAAAGAGAAAATCTTAAAAGTGGTCAGAATAGAAAAAGACACGTGACAGAGAAACAAAGATAAGGATGACTGCAGATTTCCCATCAGAGACAATGCAAACAAGAAGAAACTAGAGCAACATTTTTTAAGTACGGAAAAAATTCTAACCCAGTCAGACTGTATATTATTTCTGGTCAGAATTCTTTTTAAAAATTGATTTTTAGAGAGAGAAGAGGAGGAAGAGAGGGAGAGAGAGAGAGAGATCAATTTGTCATTCCACTTATTCATGCACTCATTGGTTGATTCTTGTGTGTGCCCTGACCTGAGGTGAAACTTGCAAACTTAGTGTATCAGGACAACGCTCTAACCAACCGAGCTACCCGACTGGGGCTCTGCTGAGAATTCTTCAATGATTTTCTGTCTAAAGTCCTGATTGCCCTGGGCACTGACTCTGAGACAGAGATGATCGTGCGGTACAGACTTATTGGGAAGTGCTCTGAGGCCCAGCCTCTGTGGAGGAGTGAAGAGAGCAGTATTGAGTAGAGGGGGAGTTGAGCTCTGATGCAATCTCAGTAGAAGCTGACCCTATCAGGAGTTTTGAAAATGAATGTCCCTTCAGAGTTGTCCCAAGCCGGGGGCACAGGTGAGGCCTTTGTACTCACGGGTCAATCATTGATCAGGGATGGGATGCCCCAGGAGGGGCGCATGGTCTTGGATGAGGCATCTCCTCAGGCCAGGGGCAATTCCCAGAGAAGGAGTCAGCCCAGATTCTGACGGGGCATCTGGGTGGCTCACCACACTGCCCAGTACACTTTCCAAAATGAAGTGGAGAAAACCCTATCTTCTTAGCACAGCACAAAAGGCCCTTCATCTTGCACAGGCCTATGCCCAGCTCACCTCAGGCTGTCCTCTCCACCTGGAAATCTCTCTCACCCTCTGCCTGGGTTCCATTTATCTGTTGGAAAGCTCCTTCTAATCCTTCGGATTACAGTTGAATGCGCCTCCTCTGAGACTCCTCCTCTGCCTGTTCTTGCAGACTCAGGGACACTTCCTCCCAGCAGAGTGGTGAGGAGCATGGGCTTGAGCCAGGGTTTGAATCCCAGCTCTGCTACTTGCTAGCTGTGCAACCTGAGGCGAATTATTCAAATTTCTGTAACTTAGTTTCTTCATCTGTAAAACAGGTACCATATTAGCACTGCTCCCTCATAGGGCTGTTCTGAGACATGAATGAGTTAACGTGTAAAGTCAGAATAGTGACTGGCAGGAGTAAACAGTTGCTGCTATTGTTGTTGTCGCCGTTATTGAAAGTGTTCAGTGTGCTTTACTGAAGGCATGAGGGTGGAAGGAAGGACCTGAGAGAGACGAAGGACAAAGTGTGTTCAGGCAATGTGGAGCGATCCAGAAGGGCAGGGACAGCCTCTGCGGGCCTATGTTGGGAAGGATTTTTCATGTCACAGTAAAGAGCGTGCATCTTATTTGGTAAGCGGTAAGAGACAAGGGGTGGGGGAGAGGGGGGAGAGGGAGAGAGAGGGAGGGAGAGAGGGAGAGAGAGGGAGGGAGGGAGGGAGGGAGGGGTACAGACAGGCTGAGCTAAGAGATAAAGTGCATGTGTAGTGGGGTGAGAGTTACAGGTGAGGGGTGGTGTTGGAGGAATCGGCGGCGGGAACAGATGGCAGGTGAGGGGAAATGAGTTTAGAGGGAAGTAACAGAACCATGGAGGGTGGAGTGGGGAATCAGTTGAGGCTGACGGGGACCGATGCGGAGTTGTAGAAACATGCTGGGAGTGAAGATAAAAAGGGTGATGGGGACAGGTGAGGTTTATGGAGACAGGTAAGGAGAGATGGGGCTCTGCTGGGGGACGGGGATCAAGTGAACGGTTGAGACCCGCGAGGAGACCCTAAGAGCCAGAGCAGGACCGCGCGCGCGGCGAGAGAGAGCCCTAGAGCTGTCGGAGTGGAGAAAGAGCAGAGCAGAATGTGATGTCAGAGAAAGGGCGGTGATGTAAGAGCCGGGGCGGTGGGGCGGTGATGTCAGGGCTGGTGCTGATGCTGGCGGCGCAGTGCATTGTGGGCAGCTCCCCGCTCTGCCGCTGTCCCTGCCGCCGCCCGAGGAGGATCGGGGCCGGGCCGGGCCGGGCCGGGATGGTCCCGGTCGGGAGGCCGCCGCCGGAGGGAGCGGGCCGCCCAGCGCCGCACTGAGCAGCCCCCGCCCCCGCCCCCGCCCCGCCGCAGCCCCGGGGGATGCGCCGCCCCAAGCCGCTGCCCTCGCCGCCGCCGCAGCGTCAGCCGCAGCGGGCCCGGAGCAGGTGAGGCGCGGCGGGGCGGGCGGGGGTCGGGGGTCGGGGGTCGGGTGGGGGCTGCTTGCACGGGCCCGGCGGGCCTCGGCCTGGCTCCCCTCCCAGCGCAGCCTTCCCCAGCGCCCCCCCCTGCTGCTGTCTCCGCCCGGGCTGGGACGCCGGCCTACACATCCTGGGCCGCATCCGAGGCCTGGACCGGCTCCCTGCCCCCCACACATGCCCACCCTCTCCCGCCTGCGCTCCAGGGGTTTTGCTCCTCGCTCCTCACCTCAGTCCCTGTGCGTGTGGCTTCAGTCTCCTGTCACTCCCGACAAGTCTTTCCAGCTTTCTGCATAACCTCTCTCTCTTGTCCTCGGTCCCTCCATTTCTTCCACCAGCCTTCTTACCAACTACCTCGCCCCTTCATGTGCCCAGAAACCCCTCCTGGTCCTGGAGTCCTCCTCCGCCATCTCGACATCTCGCCTGTCTCTCTGTCTCACCCAGCCCCCTCCTCTGACCCTGTCACCCCGGTCCCTTTCACTCCCCTCTGCCCCCTCCCACACATCTTTCCATCTGTTTCCATCACCCCTCACCGGTCTCCTGTAGCCCTCCTTACCTGCGGTCCCACATTCCCACACACACTTGGCTCACACCTTGCAGAGTTACACATGAACACCTATGCTCACACACCGTGAGAAGCTCCCGACGACTTAGGCATGTTGCTGTCGGTCTGTCTGTCTCTCTCATCACTAGCCCCTCGCTCTCAGACATGCCCTCTCTGCCGCATGTTCATTGAGACCTCCTCCACGAGCCCTCTCTCACTGCACACACAGGCCCCACACGCCCAAACCAAGGGTTCTAAGGGGGCAGTAACGGGGCAGCCGAGTGACTTTTGTTCACAGCTCCCAGTCCTAGTCTGAGTTAAGTGTAGTCCTCTGAGGCAGAGAGGGGGAGGGATAGTGGGTAGGGAGAGGCAGGGAACCCTCATTCATCCTCCTGCCTCCACTCTTTCTTTTCCCACCTCACCTGCTCCTTCTTGACTTGCCCACCTATAAAATGGGAGCAGGACCCAAATTTTTCTCATCAACCTGTAGAATCCACCATCACAGGGCTGGAAGGCTCACCAGAGTTCACCCAATTCAGCTCCTCGAGGCTCCCTCCCACTGGTTCAATTGCTTCTTTCATCTTGTCCTCAACCTGTCCCCTCCACCTATACTCCAGGATGCGCCCTCCCACCCCTACCTCTCCCTTCATCTTGCCGTGGCCCTCTGGGCCCTGCAAGTTCCTGCCCCACAGGCCACCTGACAGAAGGAGCGCAGAGGCCCGAGTGATGGCCCCACAGTTCTAATACTCTGAAGTAGTGTGGATTGGAGGAGACAGTCAGCTGAGTCATTTGAACACAGAAAGAGTGACATGCTCTCTCCCCATGGAGATCCCTTCTCCACATGTCCCTCACGGCATACCATGCCCTGTCGAAGGCTGGTTCCATGCCTTCACCGTTCCGTGCTGCTCCCTGTATCAGGAGCCCTGGGGAGTCATCCCATTCCAAGGAACGACAGGTTTATGGAATTCCCATGCTATCCATCGATATCTTAGACACTTTCCTCCTCTCTCCCACCACCCCAAACCCAGCCTGAGTGACTTCCTTCCATCTGTGACTCTCCAGGGTCATTGTGAGGGCAGTGCAGTGTGCTTGTAAAAAGTGTAGTGGGAAAGAAAAGAAGAAAAGATCTTCATTCTGTTCATGCACTGGGTTGGCAGAGGGCTCAAAATGTTATCTCTCCTGGCCCCTGCCTACACACGTTATCACACACTGAGACATGAAAACATGCACAAGCACCCACAGACACAGGTGTGCAGACAGAACCACAAAGACACACACAGACACACATGCAGACATGTATGTGCACACACTTGCATCTTTCTAACACTAGCTGGCCCCCAACCCTTACAGTTGGGATACTCTCCCTGGTATTCAGCTTCTACCTATCCTAATGCAACAGGGGCTGTGTTCTTTCTCGCTGGTTCCTGAGCAGACAGTAGAAAGGTGTGGTCAGAGGCTCTGTCCCCCCATGCCCACTCAGACCTGCTGCTCCCTGTCACTCCTGTTAGGTGGCTCTCACTCCCCTGGAGTCCCCAGTTCCTCGAAGTCCAGCCCGCCTCTCTCCGAGTGTCCACACAGCTGCTATTCCTCTAAAATCCATGTCGAGTCCACTGCCTTATGTTCACTTCTTCGCTCCCATCCTTGTTTGGTTGGGGAGCTCACCACTGAGAATGGGTGTGCCTCTCAGCAGCTGCCTCCTCCTCACTCAGCACCATCCCCGAGGGGCTGTCGGCTCTCTCTTCACTCTCTGGTCATCGCCTCTCCCACGGTTGGTTAGCAGATCTCTGTCACCCTGGTGTGCGTCTCCGTGGGTCACCCCTTCATCGGCAGCTCTCCCCTTTCATAAGACTCAGATGCACAGCTCCCTGGCATTTTATGGCACAGGAGAGGTGTGGGTGCTGAGGGCCACAGATCGAGTCACTCAGACTGGCCCTTCTTGGCCTAGGTCTCCTCAGTAGAAGCAACGGTCCCAGTCTAGTGTACTCCTTGGCTAGCCAGTCTCCCCCACATTAGCTAGCGTATGTCTCTTTGGGAAGCCCTTTCCCCACAGACAGTTCATACATCACTTTCCTTTCCTTTTTTCATTATTGTGTGTTGCTGGTTTCACATTTCCAGCTTGTAGTCTGTATCTCCCTTCCTGTGGAGAGTATCTGTCTTCTCCTCTGACCTCCACGCCCGTGCTTACACAATGCTTCCCCCGTAACCCCGGAGCATCTGTCCAGTGGGCCCAGGGAAGGATGCCTGCTAGAATGAAGCTTCCCATCATCATACCTGCAAGGTGGTCCTGGCCCTGTGGCCCACCCTACTCACAGTCCCTCTCTACTCCCCCAGGTAGATGGCCCCCACAGGGCAGGCCCTGCGGACACCCCTCCCTCAGGCTGGCGGATGCAGTGCCTAGCGGCTGCTCTTAAGGACGAAACCAACATGAGTGGGGGAGGGGAGCAGGCCGACATCCTGCCGGCCAACTACGTGGTCAAGGATCGCTGGAAGGTGGTGAGTGAGTGACCCAGTGGGGCAGACGGAGGGGCCCAGGGAGGAGGGGATCTGGAAACCTGTAAAAGACTGGTGCTGCCGCGCACCTACCTTAACTGGGAGGTGCCCCTGAGCTTATTTGCATACTGCTTGCATGTCATTATTTTTACCTACACTTGTGGACAACCGCTTTCTCCCAGTGTCCTCTCTCTAGCCCCGCCCTCTCTCACCCCTTTCCCAGCTAGATCACGTTGGTGGGTCCCAGCCTGGAACAACTCCTGGTTGGTTGTCGGAGAAGGAGCTGCAAGCTCAGCTGGGGGAGAAAGGGAGGTGGGGGAGGGGGCTCTTCCTCTGCCGGACCTTGGAGAAGGGCAGTGAGAGAGCATGTGTCCCTCCGCTGCAGCAGAGGACGGAAAGGCTTGGTTACGGGAAAGAGGCCCTGCAGGCTGCTCCCACCGCAGCCGCACTCCATCTTCTCCATCTACCCTCCTCCCCTCACTGGTTGCTGCGGCAGGTGCAACAAGCCGAGACTCCATCTCCCAGCGTGCCTTGCTCCTCAGCCCAGGACTTCAGGCTGCTCGGCCTGCTGGGAGTTGTAGTCCGAGTCTCTCGGGGGGTTTGGGTCTGGATGATACGGGAACACGTGAGGGACAGGGGAAAGGCAGTATTTGGGGAGCAAGAGCTACTGTAAATCAATCCTGCCCTATCCCCTTTCTTTCCGTTGCATAGGAGCTCCCTGCTTGCCTTTTACCATGGTGGAGGCAGGCTAACTGGGGCTGATTGTGGGGTTGTGGGGTGACTGTGAGCTGTGGGTGTACACCTGGGTGGGGAGCCGGGGCGGGGGGAGAGAGGGACCATAGCACAGGTCTGGTGGTGTGTGTGTGTGTGTGTTGTGTGTGTTGTGGGGAGAGACTCAGCTCATGGGGTTCGGGGTTGAGAGGAGAGTGGGCCTGAGTGGAGGTGGATCTCCTTGGCAACAGCCACCCCACTGGGCAGAGAAAGGGGCAGAGGTAGCGCAAGCGTCAGAGATGTTTTTTGAGGGGGGAGGAGCTGGAGGAGCTGGAGAGCTGAGGGTACGGTTGTGTATATCTCAGAGGGGAACTTCCTGAGACGGAGAATAACAGGAGACAGAGGCTGGGGAAGAAGGAGCCAGAACAATAATCAGAGAAATGAAGATCTGATAAAGCAGCGGTCCCCAGCCCTTTTGGCACCAAGGACCTGTTACCTGGAAGACAATTTTTCCACCGTCCCGGGGTGGGGGTGGGGTGGGTGGAGGGGAAGGAGGTGGAGCTACGATGGTAATGTGAGGGGTGTGATGCAGCTTCTGGTGCTGGCAACCTGGAGGCAGAAGGACATTTACACTGAAGAGGTGAGAACAGGATTGTGTTCATGAGTTTGGGTTAGAACTTTCTTGTGTTTCTGAGGGAGGAAGTGGGAGATGAGTGGAAAGAAAAGCGACAAGAGGAAGGTGGGGAAAGGGGCCATGCATGCAATCTTTGCCAGCTCACCTCTCTTTACACTCACTCCTCTACCCCCCCCACCCCGCCCCGCATCTGGAGAACTAGAAATGGTGGGGTGCCAGATGCTTCCCCTAGGCCTTCTCCCTGTGAGGGATGGAAAAGAGACACGAGGAAGAGCTCAGGAACCAAGAACGAGTTGCCCAGAGATGGACTGTAGCCAGGAGAAGATATGGGTCAGTGGCACTAGGTGGAGTCTTTAAAAATAATAACATTTTCTTCTTGTTGAGGCAGACTTCCCAGAATAATTAGACTAGCAAACAATAATAGCAACAGAAACTTAGCATTTGTTTTGAGCACTGACTATTGTCAGCCACTGTGAAAAAGAGTCGATACTGTTAGCCCCATTTCACAGGTGTGGAAACAGAGGCACAGAGATTAGGTAATTTGCCAAATTACTGGGACTGGCAGGTAGAACCAGGTCTGTCTGATGGCTGGGTCAACATACTGTTTTCCAAGAATGAGGCCATCGAAGAAGGGTCAGGACCAGGAGCCGATGGAGTCTTTGTGACCAGTGCCAGTCTAACCCTCTCATTTCACAGAGGAGGAAAAATGGAGCCTCAGAAAATTTAAGAAACTCACCCCCGGTCACCCAGAGCTGGGCCAGAAACCCAGGCTTCCTTTTCCCTAAGTGCATGCTGGTCCTGTTATGTCATATTTCTCCTGCAGCTTAGGGAGGTCTTTCTGCAGGGCACGGGGTCATGAACAGGGTCTGGGCTGGGGCAGGGCTGTGTTAGGACTTTCGTGGGTCCTGGGCACTTGTCCTCCTTGAGCCCCTTCCTCAATAATAAAGCACTGAAGTTGTATTTTATTACCACATTGGTATAAAGAGGAATACATTAATATTATATATTAAAAATTTTTGACCTAGAAGTTAATTTTTTCTCCTTCTGATTTTAAAAGAAATTAAAACATTTTCATTGTCTCCTAAGTGTTATGGGCCTTGTCTCTGTGCCCGCTGTGGCCCAGGGATGAGGGCCCAGGGACGAAGGGTGTCGAGCACATGGGTGTTGCAGAGGCCCAGCTCTTCCCCCTGGGGGGGTTTCTGTAACGGGCAGGTGGGGGGTAAGAAGGGGACTAAGGAAGGAAAAATCAGCTCTGTGAGGACATGAAGGTGGTAGGGAAATACCCTTGGGCACCCCAGCAAATCGAGGCATAGGTGTCAGAAATGTCTGGCTGCCCGAGCCCCCTTGCCATCCCCAGCTGGGATTTTGGAGCCTAGTAGACCTGAGCTTAGCTTACATCTCAACCCTGACACTGCATCCCAGTGTAATCCACTGTTCCCGTAACATTGCGGTGCGGAGTGTGGGCCCTGCGTCAGATTGCCTGGGTTTGAATGACACCCAGCGGTGCTCCTTACTAGCCGTGTGACCTGGGGCAAGGTTCTTAGCTCTGTGCCTCAGTTTTTCTTCTGTAAAAAATAGTGACTCCTACAACCTTGCTCACCTGTGTTGTTGGGAACCTCTGGGGATGAGCTGAGATGGCACCTGTGAGTCTGGAGCACAGAACCGCGAGGCGGCAGTGGTGCCCCTCCCCCGGCCCTTTCCTTCACGCTGGCACACAGCAACCACAAAGGAATTCAGAAGACACTGAAATCTCCCCTGAGTTTCAAGGTCCCCAGAGGAAGACATACCATCATACCATTTCTTCCCCCGAGTCTGTGTCTGTTCCCTCCTGGTTCTGAAATTCCTCTAGAAATCTGACCTTCAACTTTTTAAAAATTTTATTTATTTATTTTTAGAGAGGGAAGGGAGGGAGAAAGAGAGAGAGAGAGAAACATCAATGCACGGTTGCTGGGGGCCGTGGCCTGCAACCCAGGCATGTGCCCTGACTGGGAATCAAATCTGCGACACTTTGGTTCGCAGCCCGTGCTCAATCCACTGAGCTACGCCAGCCAGTGCTGACCTTCAACTTTTGTCTCAAGCAGAGGGGGACTGTGGCTTCTCACTCTTCTTCCCCCTCCCTCTTTCCCTGCCTCCTCCCTGGATGCAAGATGCTTCCTCTTCAAGAGGGGAATCTTCAAGATTCCTTCCAGCCTTCCACTTCTCTTCTAAATCTTCCCTTCATCCTTCTCCTAGAGTGGTTTCAGTTGCCACCTGCCGGATACTCCCAGTCCTCAGCTCTGTCCTGCCTCCTTCCTCCCTTCACTCCCATATTACAACCGCCATTCAATGTTTACTGGGCACCCAAGTACTGAGTACATGCTAGGGGCGGGCTCAGACATGCAGGAGGCTCAGAGTCCGGAGTCCGGCCCAGGCTGGCTGATCAGAGCGGCCTCCATCCAATCATTAGCAAGACCAGCTGTGGCAGAGCAGTTATAAGCCAGCAGGTCACCAGTGAGGCTCTGGAGGGCAACCCGAGCCCCCCCGCCGTGAGGGGCAGGCTCCCTGAGGAGGCGAGAATTGAGCTGTACATCTTTCTTAAATCAAAGCAGTCCGAACTTAGAACACTGAACCTTCGCCCTTCCCCCCATCATTGCCAGCAGCACCCTCACTCTCCAAGACCCCTGGGCTGCTGACTTGACATGACTTTCATCCTTCCCATCACAGCTTTGCTCATCTCCCCTTGCTGATTCTTCTGATTCTTCCTCCATCCCAGTTCCCTGCCCTGGGGTGCTAGTGGAGGAGGACCCAGAGGTTAGGTCTCCACAGCACTGCCCCAGGAATAAACAGATTCTCTCCAAACCAACATTCCCACATGCTCCCACAGCGTCCCCTGCCCCAGAGAAGAGGCTCACCTTGGTTTTGGGCACGTGACCGGGGTCTAGGGAGTGATGTGAGCTTCAGGAGCAGTGAGTGCCTTTTCCTGAGTCTCCTCCCCCAAAACTCCTCCCCGCACCTGCTCTGGTGACACCTTAGGGTCCTGCCAACCCCTTCCTGGGGAATCCGCCCTGAAGCTGGCAGGGTCTGGAAATTCATCTTCCTTGGGGAGGTTGCTCAGTCTAGGCAGGGGATTGGGATGAGCATGACAGTTACTGTCCTTCCAGAGAAGAAACGTTTCACAAGAGCGCATTCTCTCTCCCCAGTCCTGTATAACCTTTTCTCCATGTCTGTATGAAGTCACGGGCTTCATACCGGTTCCCACTGCCCACTCGAACATCTGGCTGTGTGTGTCCACCCAGGGCTGAGCTCTCTGTCTCCAGTGCTAATACAGGAGGTGGGGGCCCTGGTGGGTGGGGCAAAGAAAGGAGACATGAGGCCCTCCCCTCGAAGGATGGCCTCTGCCCTCACCAATGAAGGACATGGCCCCCCCAGCAGTGAGTGGGACGAGGAGCTGCTCAGTCTGATCCCTGTGTCCCCTATTCTCCCCCCATCTCTGCAGCTGAAAAAGATTGGGGGCGGGGGCTTTGGTGAGATCTACGAGGCCATGGATCTGCTGACCAGGGAGAATGTGGCCCTCAAGGTGGAGTCAGCCCAGCAGCCCAAGCAGGTCCTCAAGATGGAGGTGGCTGTGCTCAAAAAGCTGCAAGGTTCGGGCCTAGGGCAGGAGTGTGGGAAGGGCGAGGTGATGGAGCCAGGAGCCGGGAGAAGTGCTGGGATAAGAAGCGGGGGAGGAGGGGTGTGTGGTGAAGGGAGGGGCTAAGGGGGAGGTGGTGGAGGAGGTGAGGTGGGACCAGAGTCTAAGAGCGATGATGGGGCTGATGGGGCTAAGGGCCCGGGGTGGGGGCGGGCAAAGTGGTCGTGGGGCGTGGGCGGGGGGGGGGGGCTCAGGAACCCAGAGTGCACCAGGAGACCCCTGTCTGTGCCCCTCAGGGAAAGACCACGTGTGCCGGTTCATCGGCTGCGGCCGGAATGAGAAGTTTAATTACGTGGTCATGCAGCTCCAGGTGAGTCCCCGTGGCCTGCCCTCCCTCCAGTCCCACCCAAGAACGTGGGTGCGACTCCTGCCGCGAGGAGTGCGGGCGGGAGACTGGGGCCCCGGGGCGGGGGGTGGGCCCAGGACCTGGGGGCGAGGCCGGGCAGACCGTCACAGCAGTGGGGGAGGCGGTTGGGATCGGTGCTGAGCAGGGCCACCCTCTCCCTACCCCCAAGGGCCGGAACCTGGCAGACCTGCGCCGCAGTCAGCCGCGAGGCACCTTCACGCTGAGCACCACGCTGCGGCTGGGCAAGCAGATCCTGGAGTCCATCGAGGCCATCCACTCCGTGGGCTTCCTGCACCGCGACATCAAGCCGGTGAGCGCCGCCCGGCGCATCCGCCCCAAGCACGACCCTCAACAGACACCTTCCCTCCCTCTCTGGGTCCGCTTTCTTCTCCAGAACAGTTTCTTCTCTTCCCAAGCCTCATCTCTGCCTCTCACTTGCCTCGCAGGAGCACACACCCCTGTCCGCCCCTTGGCCATGCCCTTGCCCTCTCCTGTACGGCTCTTTTCTTTTCCCTCGCCCTGACCTGACCAGTCAGTCCTTCAGCCTCAAAAGGTGCAGGGAGCCGGGCAGTATCAGGGGACTGAGGAAAGGGGCCAGGGGCTGGGGCTTCGTTAGGAATTTCAAATAGCTCATTTTGTAACACCTTGAATCTTGGCTGGAAAAACCCGCCAATCTTAAGGGATAAAAACTGGGGCCCAGAGAGGTTCGTTGAATGGCCCAAGGTCACACAGCAAGGACAATGTAGGTATCCTGCTGCCTTAGTTAGACTAAGCCTCACTGCCCTGCCTGGGAGTCCCAAGGATTTAGAGCCAGGCGGACCTTGTTTTGGCTGGGTCATCAGTTGCTGTGTGATCCCGGACAAGCCACCTAAGCTCTTTGACCTTTGGTCCCCTCATCTCTGAAATGAGGGTAATCTCACCTGCCCCTCAGATGAGGTGCTCTAACCGGCTGCACGTGCTGGTGTTTTTCTCTTATGTGAGTGTATGTGGGCCGAGGGTCCCTTGCCCCATCTTGTGGCGCCCCGTGAGGAGACCCAGGCGGGGCCGGAGCCCATGCTCACGCCGCCGTCTCCCTGCAGTCGAACTTTGCCATGGGCAGGCTGCCGTCTACCTACCGCAAGTGCTACATGCTGGACTTCGGGCTGGCCCGGCAGTACACCAACACCACGGGGGACGTCCGGCCCGTGAGTACCGCTGTGCACGGGCATCCTGGCCTCCTGGGGCCCTTCGCCGGCTTTTCTGCAGCTGGTGTTCGGTGTCAGCGGCACCCGCCTCTGTCCGCAGTCGGCCCACCCCTTCTCCCCCTTAGCCTGGGCTCTCGGTGGATGCCACACCCACTCTTAGGACTGGGTTGGTGTGTCAGGTTTGTTCCTGACCAGGCCAGCATGGTGGGGCTGCCTCGGGGGACGGGGACGGTCAGGTTAAAGTAGGCAGAGGTAGGCTTGGTTGCAGGGGTAGAAATGTGGCCAAGGTCAGGGGCAGCCGATGAGGTTCCTGGTGGTGTTCTTTGCTCTGCAGCCTCGGAATGTGGCCGGGTTTCGCGGGACTGTTCGATACGCCTCAGTCAACGCCCATAAGAACCGGGTGAGTGCAGGGCTGGGGCTGAGCGTTGAGAGGGCTGGCAAGGCACAGGTCAGGGGCAGAGTGTGCTGCTGAGGGAGAGGGCAGGGTGGGCTCGGGAGGTGGGGGGAGAAGTATGCAGCAGGGGCTGGGAGCTGCCACTGCAGAGACCCCGGCGGGAAGGAGGCTCTGCCCTTGGCTTCCCCTTCTTTGCTGTTTTTGGGGACCTGCTCCTCTCTGTTCCCAACACAAATAAATCTCTGTGGGGGGAGAACGCACACACAGAAGTCTAGGCTGGGCTTGTGTGTGTGCTGGCGGGTTGCGGAGGGGTCCATGACTTCAGGGAGACTTCAACTCTGCCTGTAGAAGCCTGGGCATCAGGCCTCTTGACCGATATACCTCAGTATATATATACCTCAGGGAGGGGCCTGAGAGCTGTGGGTGACCCCCCATCCCTCCACCCCCAGGAGATGGGCCGCCACGATGACCTGTGGTCCCTCTTCTACATGTTGGTGGAGTTTGCAGTGGGCCAGCTGCCCTGGAGGAAGATCAAGGACAAAGTGAGCCCTGTGCAGCTGGGTCTGAGGAGGTGGCGGGGGGTAGGGGATGCCTCTGGGGCTCCATCTACCTGTGTCTCTTGCCTCCAGGAGCAGGTAGGGATGATCAAGGAGAAGTATGAGCACCGGATGCTACTGAAGCACATGCCCTCCGAGTTCCACCTTTTCCTGGACCATATCGCCAGCCTCGACTACTTCACCAAGCCTGATTACCAGGTGGGAGCCTGCCGCCCGCCTGCATCCCCGGATACCTCTCTGTGGGCGACCGTCACCAGCAGCACCCTCCTGCCGAGGCCCTTCGTCCCTGCCGGCTTGGCCCTCACCATCTCCCCCTCGTCTTCCAACTGCACGAAACTGTTTTGCACTCTTGTCAACAGTAGGCATAGTTAAGATTTATCAAGAGCTTACCCTGTTTTCAGTGCTTTTCATGCATTAATTCATTTAAGCTTCAAAACAAGCCTTTGGTGGTAATTGTGTGTTCCTTATGTTATTATTTTAGCATTTAACAATTCATTAAGCCAAGTGCTTCCAAGTACTTTTCACCGAAACTCTGCAGGAGTCCAGGCGGGATGGTTGTCCCTATGTCATAGATGAGGAAACGGAGGCCTGACAGCCTGGCTGGGGGCAGGGCTGGGCCAGACTCGTCTTCTGGCCCCATGTCCAGTGCTCTTCCCAAGGTGCCATCCCCACACCCCTATGGGGCCCGCTGACCCTGACCCAAGAGCGGGGAAGACGTCAGCCATGTTCTGCCCAGGACCCACTGTGTGCCAGCGTGGGGAGCACAGTGTTGGGCACGCAGTGGGCACTCAGTGAACTGGGTGCTGCAGCCGGGAGCGCCCGCCCTGCGTTCTGGAGAGAGCAGTCAGAGTGGAGTGGTCGGGGGCGCAGACGGCCTGCAACTGCCCGTCACCTTCTGAGCACAGAACCCTGGTGGCTGGCAGAGATGCCTCACTTGGGCGGTGGGAGGCCATGCCCCACCCCCGCTCAGCTTCAAGGGGGTGCCCCAGACCAAACAGCTGAGAGCACACCCTGTGCTGAGCCCCGTGCTGGCTGCTAGAGGTGTAGAGTTGGCAGGCAGGCCTGTGAGCAGTTCAGGCTGATGCACTGTGCCCCACCAAGATGGGGAATCAGAGAGGGATTCAGGGAGGACTGCGGATGGGTGAGTGGGAAAGGCACTGCCGCCGGAGGAAGCTGCTGTGCACAGCCTTGCCCCCAGGTGGTGGGTTTGGGAAGCTCCCAGTGGTTCCAGGCTGCTGTTGCTAAGGCTGAGATAACGAAAATGGCAAAGGAGCCTGGGGACGGTAATCAGGGGACAGATATCAGGGGGCTTATGTTTAGCCAGTGGGGCTTAAACCAAGGTGATAATTTGCATGCTGATTTGCATATTGTGTGCATGTTTTCATTAAAAATCAATGTGCCCTTCTCCTCCCAATGCCTCCTCTTGGCCCATCCCTGTCCTGGAAGGCCCCTCTCTGCCTCTTGCAGTCCCAGCAACTATCCCCTCCTCCTGGCTAGCCCCAGGGTCACCTCTCTGTCCTCCCACACCCTCACCCCTGCAGTTGATCATGTCAGTGTTTGAGAACAGCATGAAGGAGCGGGGCATCGCCGAGAACGAGGCCTTTGACTGGGAGAAGGCGGGCACCGACGCCCTCCTGTCCACGAGCACCTCTACCCCACCCCAGCAGAACACCCGGCAGACAGCAGCCATGTTTGGGTGAGTCTCGGGAGGGGCGATGGCTGGGGGGCAACCATATGACCTCTGCCTGGAGCTGTCACCCTAGAATCCAGCTCTCTCTACTCCTCTTCCTACCTGAGCACACCTGGCCATCTATCCTATTCTTGGTGTTCAACAGTGGAGTTCTCGAACCCCAGGGAGTTCTGCTCCATCTGCACTCTCAGTCTGGGCACAGAGTGGGGTCCTCGTTTGGAGCTGTTGACCTTAGTGGGCATCGGGAAGCCCTGGTGAAACTGCCTGAGCCCCACAGTTTATTTCTCCACGTTCAAGTGCGTTCATTTAGCAAATATGTCTTGAGCCCCACCACTAGGGGCACAGAGACGAACGCTCTCAATTGAGTCGAGGGTACTTGTCGTCCATGGGTCAGCAGTGTGAGAACCATGTGACAAGCACAAAGGCAGAGGTGCCGGTGTGAGCAGGGCTCCCCGCCCAACCCCAGGAGCAAGCCAGAGAGAGATATGGGCAGGGGCTTCGGGTACACATTCGGGAAGGAGCCTCAACAGAACTTGTCAGCACATTAGGTGCCCAGTCCTGTAAAGACATTGCTCAAGGAGCTCCAAAGCAACTCTTCTCTCCAGACCCAGTCCCGGTGTAAAGGAACCCAAGCAGAGAGCTGCAGTGGAAATCCGGCGGGGCCTGGAAGGCAGTGGGATCTCTTACACAGAGCTGGGCGGTATCGCGCCCATCCCGGCAGCCACGTCTTCTTACAGCCCTCTGCCAACCTAAGGATGGTCTTGTCTCAGAGGTTTTATGAGCTGCAGTGCTGGTGGGCCTAGGGACACCCCCACCCTTGCCAGGGCCTCCCCTGTGCCCACGTCCATTGGTGGCAGTGGCCTCTAGGGCTGTGCTGATAGGAGACAGCACCCTGCCAGCTTTGCCCATGGCCCCCTCCTGGCCTCTCCAGGGTGGTCAACGTGACGCCGGTGCCTGGAGACCTGCTCCGGGAGAACACCGAGGACGTGCTGCAGGGCGAGCACCTGAGTGACCAGGAGAACGCGCCCCCCATTCTGCCTGGGCGGCCCCCGGAGGGGCTGGGCCCCGGCCTCCACCTTGCCCCGCATCCTGGGGGTCCTGAGGCTGAAGTCTGGGAGGAGACAGATGTCAACCGGAACAAACTCCGGATCAACATCGGCAAAGTAACTGCAGCCGGGGAGAAGAGCGTGGGTGGCTCCCCGATGCCCCGCCCCCTCTGTCCTCTTGAGCGCCCTCTCCCCACCCCGAGCCTGCTTGCCCTGCTTCCGCCCTTGCCCCCTCTTGGTCACCAGCGCTCTCCTGCTTGATCTCCCTTTGTCTCCACCCTGAGAAAACCCCGTTACCCACTCACGGGACTCCCCTCTCCTGCAGACTCCCTGCATGGTGGAAGAGGAGCAGAACCGAGGTGTGGGGGTCCCCAGCTCTCCCGTGCGTGCCCCACCAGACTCACCCACAACCCCGGTCCGTTCTCTGCGCTACCGGAGGGTCAACAGCCCTGAGTCGGAGAGGCTCTCCACTGCGGACGGGCGGGTGGAGCTACACGAGAGGAGGTGTGTCTGGGGCCAAGGGGTGGTTGAGGCCCCCAGTCCCCTCTACATGGCTGGCCTGGAGGAAAGGTCAGATCTGGGGCAGAGGCAGTGATGGGGCCTGGAGAAGGAGTGGGGTATGCAGAGGTCCCACCTGGTGCCACGAAGGGATGTGGAGGAGGGGACAGGCCGCAGGAGGGGTAGGCTGGGTCCCCATGCCCAGCAAGAGGTGAGGAGCAAGTTAGTAGGTGGATGTCCTTCCAGAACCTCTTTCTCTAGAGATTAATCACAGATGCCTCAGGGAGCTGACTAGGTTCCCTTCAGCTTCTGAGGAGGGAGGAGGGACCTGAGAGAGGGGTTCAGGGAGTGCTCAGCTTGAGGAGGGGATAGACCAAGTCTTGGGGGTCAGGGCTCAGGGATCTGAGTGTCAGGGAGGGGACCTGGTTGATGGAAGTAAGGGTTGGAAAGTTTAGAGCTAAGATGAACCTTGGGTGGCCAATGGCAGGCAGGGACCAGGGCCGGACCTGTGGGTAGGATAACCTCCTCAGGTGGAAGAGAGATGTCCCTGCTGTCCCTTGGCATTGGGTGGGGCTTCACCACACAGCAGGGCTGAGGCCTTCTCTGCACCAGGGAGGGGATCTCTTCCCTGGGCCCAGCTCTGGGCGGGGGGCGGGGGGAGAGGTCACTTCTACACCCAGGCAGTGTGGTTCTTCAGGCCCCACCTCAGCCATGGCCCCGCCTCTGGGTCCTGCCCCAAACTATACTCCACCTCCCAAATGGGTCACAGTGCTCCTTTGAGGTGTGGAGCTGCTTGAGATGGGCGGGGGGCTCACTCTCCCAGTCCCTGTGATGACCCCAGGACAGAGAGATGATGCAGACCCTGTCTTCAGGGAGCTGGCAGCTCTTACACTCACGATCACACAGGTTGGCCTACATTTTCATCTGCGGCAGCCTGGAGGGTTCTGGAGACAGGAGGAAATGACGAGGGGCGGTTTGGAAGGGATATAGTGGAGAAGAGAGGTGGGAAATGCCCCGAACAGAAACAGTCCTGAAGAGCAAGTTGGTTTGGCTCGGAGTGAACCCTTGTTCCAGAGATGGTGGAAAAGGAGGGAGCTGAGGAGAGGTTTCCTGACAGTTTTCAGGGTCTCATAGGCGGGCAGATGGGTTTGGGGGGCTCTGGGGCACTGGGAAGTGGGGCAGTATGAAGCAGATGGGATTGCCCATCCCCCCCAGTGCCCGCTCCCCTCCTCACCCCTGACCTTCAGCCCCCCTTTTCCCTTGGTGCCCTTGCTCTCCTCTGTCCATCGGAACCAAGCTCTCAGGAAAGGAAGTGACGTCAGCTGTTCCTTGGGAGTATACATGTCAGACCCCGAGTGTCCTCCCTCAGGAGTGTTTTTATTTTAAGCCTAATAACAAATCAGTAAAGGTATTGTGCTGATTTGGCGGTCCTGCGTAGGCCGGGTGGCAGTATGTGGAGCAAACCCCACGGGCGCCCCCAGCCCCACACCGCCCCCTCCTGCAGGCCCCATGCAGGGAAGAGCAGGCCTCAGCCCGCTGCCCACAGGCCAAGGGTGCGGGTGCGCGCGCCCCAGAGGAGCCGAGCCTTCCCAGTTCTCACTGGGGGCTCCCCAGGCATTTGGGGGAGGATACTTTTTCCTTGTGCAGTGGCCTGTCCTCCTCACACTGGGGCCAGCACACCCGTGGTGGAGAAACTCCGGAAGTAATGTGAGATTCCCAGCGCAGTTTAGGGTAGCAATGAAAGAGATGCCCCAAGCCAGGATGCGTGCCCCAGACGTGAGCAGTCAGATGGCCCGTTCCCTGCCTGGCGGAGCTCCCATCCCCTGGGGAGGACTCGGAAACACGCACGTGCTCTGCTCTGGGATGAGAGGCAGCAAGGGGCACCAGGGAGGCAAACCAACCCCTGTGGAGGATGGAAAGGCTCCCCACAGGGGGTGACATCTGAGCGGAGGTGGACAGTGAAGGCTAGAAGGACAGACCTTGTGGCGGGAACGGAAGGAGCAAAGGCCCAGAGGTGTGAGCCCATGGGCAGTCTAGGGGAAGCGTGTGAAGGGGCCTGGCTAGGAGGGTGGGGAAGCGGGTGGAGGACTGGCAGCCGAGGACCTGGAGTGCCAAACTACGGAATGTGGACTTTGTCCTTGGGGCTGGAGGCCATTGGAGTTTGTTGAAGGTTGTGAAACCGGACAGGCAGGGCTGGAGGGTGGTAGTAGAGCAGGCTAGAAAAACCATCTGCAAACTCAAGGGCAGGTGGCTGTTTGCCCTGGACGGAGGGAGCTCCTGACGGGGTGTGAGCACTGGACAAGAGAACAGAAAACTGGCTTTAGCAAGACTCAGTTTCCCGGGGGTGGTCTGGTGGAGAGTGTTCCTTGAGCATAGGAACCAGATTTTATTTCCTGCACGTTTATATCCCTGGAATTCAGCATTCAAAAATGTGTTGAATGAATGTATGAATGAATGAATGAGATCTTTACAGGGATTGGGGGTGGAGGGTGACAATGGTCAGGAGGGTCCAGGTGTCACGGTGGCCTGCCCCCTGCGTGGGGTCCTTGGGGGTCCAGAGAACCTGGGCCCTGAGCCCCCCCTGGAATGGCTTTGCAGGTCACGAATGGATCTACCTGGCTCCCCCTCACGCCAGGCCTGCTCCTCACAGCCGGCCCAGATGCTGTCAGTGGACACTGGCCAGGCGGACCGGCAGGCCAGCGGCCGCATGGACGTGTCAGCCTCGGTGGAGCAGGAGGCCCTGAGCAATGCCTTCCGCTCCGTGCCGCTGGCTGAGGAGGAGGACTTCGACAGCAAGGAGTGGGTCATCATTGACAAGGAGACAGAGCTCAAGGACTTCCCCCCAGGGGCCGAGCCCAGCACGTCAGGCACCACGGACGAGGAGCCCGAGGAGCTACGGCCGCTGCCTGAGGAGGGTGAGGAGCGGCGGCGGCCAGGGCCAGAGCCCACTGTCCGGCCCCGGGGACGCAGCATGCAGACACTGGCTGAGGAGGACCCACGGCAGACGCCATTCCAGCCCCCACAACCTCAGCTGAGCCAGGCCGATGGCCGGTCAGAGACATCGCAGCCCCCCACACCCGGCAGCCCCTTCCACTCACCCCTGCACTCGGGACCTCGCCCTCGGCGGAGAGAGTCGGATCCCACTGGCCCTCAGAGACAGGTAAGGTTGGATTTGCAGCTCACCCTTCACCCTGGATGCCCACAGTGCTGGTATGGGAGCCTGAAGTGTTCCCCACATGTCCCACAGGGGCTGTGGGCCAGCTGCCAGTTGCATGTTTTGATGAAGACAGACAGGTTTAAGGGCCTAGAATTATGTTTGGGGGGCAGGCAAGGTTCCCGGAGGAAGTCCCCTCCAAGTTCAGAGTTGAGTCTTGCATTATGGGTAGTGTCACCCAGGTGACAAAGCAGGAGAAAGGCCTTCTAGGCCAGGAGGACAACATGTGCAAAGGCCTGGAGGTGACAATCAGCAAACACTGTGCTGAGTGCATGTTGTAGCAGATGAGGCTGCAAGGTAGGTCCCGGGCCCCATCCTGGAGGGCCTTGGGGCTAAGCTAAGGGGTTGGGACTCGATATGAAAGCTTGGTGAGCCATTGAAGTCTTTTAAACAGGGGTGCAACATACTTACATTGGTTCTTTGGAATAATCCCTCTGGCTGCTGTGTGGGAAGTGGGTTGGAGGGGCACAACACTCTAAGTGGGGAGGTCACGTGGCCGGCACCAGCAGGAGGGTGCCCTGGTGGCTTGGATGAGGATGGGGGCTCTGGACGTAGGGCAAGGTGGGTGGAGCCAGGAGGTGCCCAGGCTGTGACTGACTGGAGGGGGCCTCCACTGATGCCCAGCATTCGGGCTGGATGGCAGTGCTGTCACGGAGTGGTTTGAAGGGAACATGGATTCAGATTTGAACACAAGGACCTTACCATGTTCACATCGAGGCCTTAGCGCTCAGGAGAGGCTTCAGCTGCAGATATGGATTTGGGAGTCATGGAAGCCGCAGAAGAGGGTGATGTCGCCCAAGACAGCTGTGTAGGCTGGGGAGAGTCAAGGGTGAGGGCAGAACCAGGAAACACTCACTTTTGGAGAGAAGGAGAGAAAAAGGAGCCCTTGAGAAACTGAGAAAGAGGGGCCAAATCGTAGGAGGAGCACCTGGGCAGAGGGGTCCCAGCAACCAGGGAAGGGGTGGCTGAAGGGGGTGAGGGCAGCAGGGAGGGCCAGGGGAGTTTCGTGCGGGTGCGATAGGCTCCAGGCGGGAGGGGAACCCTGACAGCCAGGACTGACAGACAGTGATGGGGAGAAGTGGAGCCAGGGCCGGAGGGGTCCTAGGCTGGGCTGAGGGATGGGCATGTTGGGGGCCCTGGGAGGACCCGTTAGGCTGCCGTGGACCCTTCTTGTATGGGAGGACTGAGGGACAAGGCTGGAAGGACAGGGGCTGGAGGGGTGCCAGATGGTGGCCCAACTGTGAATGCCAGGCTGAGGATCTGCAGCATGTCTCACAGTATTTTGGTTACTTTCTCTGGCAAGGATGGGATGTCAGAATAGGCAGAAGGCCACTGGCCTGGCCTGGCTTCTCTGTGTAGGGAAGTGGGGTAATCTCTGTCTGACTCAGGAAGTGGCACCGACTCTTACCCTGAATGGTGCCGAATGGGGCCCATGTTCTCTCAGAGGGACTGGGGAGAGCCCAGGAGGGGATGCTGGAGGGCTCAAGGGCTGTGCTGTGTTTCCTTTATCTTGCCACATTGGAGACGAGCCCCAGGTGGCTCTGGAAGATGCCGAGGTGCAGGGCTGGGGCCAGATGTGCAGCGCGCTCGGATTGGGAGGCCCAGTCTGGGCACGTGCAGCTGCCCTGGAGAAGGGCAGCTCCAGGCGGGACTGTATTCAGGCCCCACACCTGTGTCTAGAAGAGAGGACTTCTGAGTTGAGATCCTGAGATGTGTGCATCCTGGCCTTGCCCTGGTTTCTGGAAAATTGGTGGCTCAAAAAGGGGATACCGTGGGGCCTTATCCCCAGAGGTCCAAGCCAGCCTGAGCGGGAGGCTCCCCTGGGACAGGGTGTGGGCTAGCACGACTGTGTGGCTGACCCAGACATTGTTCCCCCAGGACCTACTGCTCTCCTGGAGGAGAGTAGGAGCAAGATCTGTCTGGGGCTCCCCCACTGCCCTCTCATTCATTCACTTGTTCACTCACTCATTTATTCACTCCACACCTACTGAGCATCTACTCGGGGCTGGGTACCCGAGGCATCAGAAATCATATGCACAACAGGTGGTGCCCCCAGGAAGTACAGATTCTGGGAAGGAGCCAGACAGTAGTGGCGTGGGGCAGAGAGGAAGCCCAGAATTAAAGGCAGGAGGCCCAGGCTCTGGCTCTGGTGACTATGCCAGTTGGGCCTCACAGTGAGGGAGCAGAGCTTGTGGTTCCCACCCCGGTCTTTGGAGTCATCCTCACATTGGGGAGCTCTGTCCAAGGGGGTGAGGAGAGAGATTTGGGGGTGCAGACACAGGCCTATCTATTGTGCAGTCAGTTAGTGCTGAGCCAATTTCTGCTTGTGACATGGACAGGCACTGCCTGTCTACGTGAGCGATGACAAGTGTGTCTGGAGGGGGTGTCAGAGGTTGTAGGTGTTAGTTTTCTGAGAGAAGTGAGGTTGGTTAGTATTCTACAACTGTGTGTGCATTTCTGTGTCAGCTCGTGCAGGAGGGCGCACCAGTGTGTGGGTGTGTCCATAGGTGTGCCCATGCGTGTCGGGGCGCGGGGCAGTACGTCCGTGTGAGGTCGGCTGTGGTCTGCAAGTGTGTAGAGAACCACAGAAGCCTGGAATGTCAAGGCCGGGGGGCGAATAACAATCCCCGTAATAATTCTAACGACAATAATGGCAGCTGTCACTGCTCTGGGCACTTTCCTTCTTTGCATGTGTATTCCCCTCAACCACACTATGAATGGGCACCCCCACTTAAAAGATAAGGAAGTGGAGGCTTAGAGGACCAGGGTCACCAGCTGGTAAGTGGCAGAGCCAGGATTAGAATCCAGGCACCTGACTCCAGGGTCATCCTCTGGGCCACTTGGTCTAGGCCTTCGTGTTTAGGAGAGGAGCAAGTCACAGGTGTGAGCAAGAGGGTGGCTTATGGGGCATCAAAGAACCAGACTGGTGTGTGTATGTGTGTGTGCATGTGTGTGTTTTGCATACATGTACGCGTGTTCACTCAGCTGGGCCACGTCGACAGGTGTGCCTGTGGGCATGTCAGTGTGCACAGTGGCCTCTGTGTGTGTCTGCATGTTTGTACAGGGGGCGTGACATGCTTAGCTAAGTACTCCAGTGCGGCTGGGGGTGGGCAGAGACCTGCCTTGGTCAAGTGGAGGGGAAGAGGGAAAAATGGGCTGGCATATTTTTTCCTTCTTTTTTAAAAACATACAGATAGTCTTTTTTAAAAATATTTTATTTATTTGGTTTTAGAGAGAGGGGAAGGGAGGGAAAAAAGAGGGAGAGAAACATCGATCAGCTGTTCTGACTGAGGACCTGGCCCGAAACCCAGGCATGTGCCCCGATTGGGAGTTGGACTGGCGACCTTTTGGTTCGCAGGCTGGCACGCGGTCCACGGAGCCACACCCGCCAGGGCTCCCTTTGTCCTTCGGTCTGGCGGGAGTCCTGAGCTTGTTTGTGTGGGGGCTCCAGACCTGGCTGCACGCTAACATCAGTGTGCGGAGTTCCCTTCCCCATTCACCCCACAACTACATTAAATGGCGCAAGGCAAGCAGGACATCTCTGTGGGGACTCCCCACCCTGCCACCTCTCTGCAAGGAATCCCTTCTAGACCTCCTCGGGCTCCTCAGAGTCTGATGTGTGAACTTCCTCGTAACAGCTGTCCTTAAGGATCTGAGCACCTGTAACTCTGCCACCTGCCGCATCGTGAGCAGGAATGGGAGAATGTGGAACCAGGCACAAGTTCAGAACCAGGCACACCAGTAGTTTTTCAGTGTGCATGTCATTATACTTTAAGTGTTTTTCTTTACACGTACCTCGTGTCTTCTCCGGGAAGCTGAGACGCAAACTGGGAGTGGCTGGGAGAGCTGGGGCAGGGGGGCGGGGGAGTGTCAGACAGGGTGTAGTTTGGAGGTGGGCGTGTGCCGGGTCACCTCTGGCTGGTAACGCAGCAGGTCAGCATTCCCGGAGCACGTGGACACTGCTGGCAGCCGCGAGGACGTTTCCCTGCCAAGTGCCAGGCAGCACGCTAGGGGCTGGGGGACAAAGACAGATAAGGCTTCCAGTCCTGCTCCCTCGGAGCTCACAGTCAAGGGTGGGGTGGAAATGTGCAGTGCAGACGTGGAGGTTTGTGATTGAAGGCCTCAGGGGAGAGAGCAAAGAACTCTTCTTTGCTAGGAACAGGGAGACTGCCTAGGAGGCTGGCGTGGCTCCCCGAGGTGCGAGCTGGACCGAGCACGCTGTGACTAAACCCGCCCGGCGCCGACCAAGCTCTGGCTGGGCGGTGCAGTTCAAGCTGCCCACCTGTGCTTGAGAGGGGCTGTGGCAACTGTGGGTGCTTCTGTCCCTTGGTGACCCGAGGTGGGCCTTCGACCCCTTGCCCTCAGTGCAGACATGCCCAGCTCAGAAAGATCCTGGTTGTGGCCAAAAAGAAGCTGGGAGGAAAAGCAGGGGAGGACTGAGACGATCTTATCACAGCTTTCTCTCTCCACCTCTCTCTGCTGTGGTCTCCATGTTGGGTCCCTGTGCTCCCATTTGACATCAGCAGGAGGACACTGGAGCCTAGTGTCCATCCTCCTTCAGGCCCCCAGCAGCTGGCACAGCCAGTCCTCAGGCCCCTCCCCCTCCCCACCCCCCAAAAGCTATTTAAATTGGCCTCAGTCCCAGGAAGAGCTAGGGGTCAGAATGGGAAAAGCCTGGTGACACTCAAGCCACCACTTCCGTCTCCACAGACCTGGGACAAGCAGTCTCATTTTCCCTCTTCCCGCTGAGGACATGAGGGCAGGAGGGTGCAAGTCAGGGTTCTTCCTGACAGCAGGGTGGTGCCCAAGCTCCTGCCACAGTTGCCTTGTGGCTCGGCCTTGGAGAGGACAGGGAAAAAGTCACTTTGGGGAAATGGTTTCTACTTGCCCCGCCTCTTGCCAGGCTGCATCCCTTCCTTCATTCCTAGGAATGATTTAAAGGGTAA